TCAGAATATCTTTAATGCTCTGTGAAGCCTTCTTGGCTTTTACATCAGCAGTCCTGTGAACAAAAAAAGTTGTCTGTTATTTAAAAAGTACTGATCCTTAAGAACAGCAGGTATAGCAGCCTAAGCATCATGAGATTAAAGAAGCTTTTGCATCTTTGGCTATTCATCTTAATCTCAGTATTAAATTCCTGAAATTATAGTGGCTGAAGTTCTTAGTCTAATTTTTCTTTGCTATTGTACAGTAAAATTCACTGATGATTTTTCTTCAGCTAGTAAAGGTGGTAAAGATTCTGTATGGTCTGAGAAGGAAAAATGACTAAACACGTATATTTTTTTATCAAGAAATTTGATAATCATCAAATAAATCTGACATGAATATTGAGGCATACACCTTTACCACCAATTAAAGAAGCAGCAATAGAAAGGAGATTGTACACAAGGAGCTATTGTACTTCTGTTGGCATTTCTGGATATTTGCTATGGATTTATATGGTTCTAAGCAGTAGATTTTTAGGAGTGGTATAAAAAACAAGCCTCAAACTGGAATTTTGGGATATAAAGAGGTGGATTAGGGGTGTGTGTTGGTTTGGGGGTTTTTTAAAATTCTTTGGATAGAATAACCACTCATCTCCAGGCTTTAAGGATTAAAGTGGTAAGCACTTGGGCTCTTGTTTCATTGTTAACCCTTCAGCTGGCACAGAACTTACTTTTGGGTAAGATTTTACCAGAGCCCAAGTAATTTAAAACTGCCTGTATTGGGAATACTTTCAAATGATGGTTGTAGAAGACTAGTTGATACGAAGACCATGTTGAAGTCTCGGGCTATCGCAGTCCTCCTTATGCTCATGGCTTCAATCCTGTAAAATACCAAAGTGGCTCAGAAAGAAAGAGAATAATTTTTTAGCTTAAAACAGAAGAGTCAATTCAGCAGAATAGCCAGTTACAAATACATTGGTGTGAGAGAAAACCTTGGTTTTAAGCTCCACTGGAACTGCCTTTCTAGAGGCTTTCAGAATACTCTAGGAAGAAGGATTAATTCTGCAGAAAGATACCTTCTGCTATACCTGTCATTATAGGCTGATGCCTGATTCCAAGCAGCTAAACTGAGTTATTTTCCTGATTTTTTTTTTTCTTTTCTCTTATTTTCTCTTTGATAATCTTTCCCATTTCCTTTTGTGGCTGGCAAAGAATTCTGCACACTTTTAACTAAGTATCTGGAGCTGACAGTGACTTTTTCTTTGAAGAACTGGTTTAGTTTGTGTGTCTTACTGTGAGAGAAACCTTTTCCCAGCAGGTCACAGACAATCCCAACTGCAAGATGCATCAAACAGTTCACAAAGGAATGTTCTACTTGTCTCCTACTTGGAATATGTATTTTATATGGGTGTAAAGTATCTCAGCTCAAGTTTAATCTATGGTATTTGCTCAAGCAACTTAGCTAAAATCCACTGAGAAAGAGGAGAGTTTGTATTCAGCTATGCTTTCTTGCATAGTTGATTCCATCTACCAGATTGCAACTGTAGGGCTTAGCACAGCTCCTTTGAATAGGGCAGCATGATTTTAAGTGATACATTCAAGGATATTCCTTCATCCCGAAAACTTGTCAAGTTGATGATTCTTTGATATTTTAGTAGGGAAACCATTGTGGGAGATCTTGTGATATAACATTAATCATCTTATGAAGACTAATTCATATCACTGATCTGGTCATCAAAGCATTAATTCTTGCTTCTGTGGCTTTCCTATGTAAAATATTGACTATTTAGATGAAGATATCCAAACTAGTGTAATATTTTTTCCATGGATAAAGAGGGAGATAGCACATCTATTCATTATGAGATGGAGTCAGCTTCTGAAATTAATTTTCAACACTAGATACTACTGTTCTATATGTCAATTCCCTGTGAAGATAGGACAACAAATAATCTTTAGAAGATCTGTTACAAGTCATTACTTTTCAGTGTGACTCTTGTATGGACCACATTAAGTAGAACAATCAGCAAATGTAAAATCTTACATTTTGGAGAGGATAGAGGCCAAGCTTCTAGATCAGGCTCGTTGGTAATGATGAGAAGTTCTGTGTATTAAGGAAGTTCAAGCAGGAGATGTCTGTAGCCAAACCATGTCTGTGGCTTTCTGTTGAAATAAGGTCACACATAGACTGCTAGATGTACCAAAGTTTTGATTTGCCTTAGGAGTTTTGTTCTTTTCCTGTTTATACTAAAAAGTAACTGCCTCCTTTCAAATGGACGTATGTAAGATTTTTGCTTGATTGCTCAGCCTGTTGCAGTTATTGAGGTCTCTTGCGCAGCCTAGCCAGAGTAATTTGGAAAAAAAAAATACTGTGAAGACTGTCACTTTCCATCACTTCTAGACCAGTAAAATTAAAAACATCTCTAACGGAGTATAAAAATCTAGGAAAAATACTTAGTATTGCTTTTAGGGACATTTACCATTAAATCAGGCTTTTATTTTAATGTTAAAGAATATTATACTTTCCCTAAGCATTTCCAAGTGGCCCATTGTGCTAAAAAAAAAAAATAATTGTAGGGTATTTGCAGGATCAGAAATTCTTGTGTTTTTAGAAAAGCTAGCAACAATGTTATATTGATGGTATTTGAGAAATGTGCCTCAGACTGTGACCTGTGATATGTTGAAAGAAACCTCCATTAAATATTAACTCATGTTGCAGAGATATTTTGGAACTTGCAAAGGATTTTTTTTTTGGTGTTACTTTTTTTTTATATGCTTCCTAGAATTGGCCTTATGTGATATGAGCCTTAGAAATTACTTGAAAGTAGATAATAATACTCTCATACCTATAGCTGTTAAATTCATCCACAGCCATTAAAACACCCTAACAATGGGCACTCCTGTTTTGCTGTTCTCACCTACTGAAAAGCCTGCATCTTTGAAAAAATTGTATTTTCTTGTTTCTGATGCACCGGAGTGCCAATCTTTCGTATTCTCAAACAGAACCCGATTTTACTCCCAGTGAGGGTGGTGATACTTACTGTTCTTGCTAAGCCCTACCTAGGTGTAATTAAAAAAGAAGTATTATAGACCATAAAACCAAAACACTTTTCAGCTCTGGCCCTGTCATCCAGCATACCGCGTTCCCTTTCATGTTGGCATCATCGGCAGGTTTAATATACATCATCTCTTTTCCATCATCAGTCTTTCAAAGAAATGCAAAGTAGTATTCTACCAGAAGAAAACCCAGTCAGTGCATTCTTCCTGGATGAAGCGTGATGCTCTCACAAGACACTGAAAAAAAACCTTTCTAAAGTAAACAAAGGACATGTGTTGCTTCCCTTTTATTTGCAAGAACAGTTACTTAATTTCTGTAATGATACTGAAAATATGCAATGTATTCTTGTTGAATCACTGTAGGCTGTTAATTTTATCTTTGTTAGATTCTAGGCGCACACAAGTGGTTTTCTTATGTTTTCTGGTATTTTTGTGGAAACTTCATTTAAGTTAATTGTTCTGTAGTTCTGTGGCTGGTTCTTTTTGATGAAGCTACGTGTGGGCACAAATTTGATTAAATAGAAAATGTAGCTTACTGAATAAAAACAATCTGAAGCTAGTGCATGTGGTTTCCTTAACTTTCAAGTGTAAAGAGAAAAGAGATTGTAGAGCCAGCATGTGAGAGAAATGGCACTCTCAAGCATTTTGAGTGTGTTATGAGAATTAACATTACCCCGTTTGCCCTTGTGCCTCTTTTGCGGCAGAGAGAGCAAGCTCCAGGAGTTACAGTGTTGTCCAGTTCTGATAAGGTAGGATCAGAACTTTTTTGTGTTCTGGCCTACCCATCTTTTCGCTTTCGGCTGCGTATATGGCCCAGTAAATGTGTCTTTTGTTTCATTATATTGTCAGTGGTTTGCATTCCAGCTCTACCAGTCATCTGATACATGAGCTTAGACAAGTTATTTTACCTTTGTCTACCATCTTTTCACTGTTTGTTTTGTCTTGAGTTGGTCAGTCTTTAGCTTTGAGCTTTAAGTGGCTTGCAACAAGTGTAGCTCTTTTGCTGGGGCCATAAACAATTCTGAATGATATTAGTCTGGCAAGACGACTTTTGGGTTAGAAAGTGGAAAGTAATGAACTGCTAAGGGTTTCCAGTATTTTTGCTACTGAGACCTGTCATATGCCCACCAGCCCACCCTGGTGAGAGCGCCAGGGACCATTCCTGCCAGTGAAACAATTTGTGCCACTGTTTCTCCTTTTGCAGCTGAGATTTTTGGTGCTTTGTTGTGCAAAGATTTTGGTGCATGACTTAAAAGGTGTGAAAAAGTTGGTCATCTCTGGCCTAGACACTAAACAGTTTTTCGGTGACTTTTATGTTCATAAAATGCTTGTTCATCACCATGAAACCCAACTGTCGATGCAGTGTTCCAGATAAACAGGAGATACGAAATGGTCACAGATCATGAACTTAAATGCTCAGTTGTCATAGCCTCAAATACCTGGTTCTGAAACTTGGTCACTTGGAGGCTTACTATGCGACTTTTCCACAAGGTAAAAATTAAAGGTTAAAATAGGTAAAAATGCCTGAATGTTGATGTATTAAAGCTAAAATTCATCCCAGTTATCTTCATGGGAGAGATAGGGAGCATATTACCATCTTACTGTGGCATGTCACCTGCAAAATTGTATACAAAGTAGAGAATTTGATGGCTTTGACTGACTAATTGATATTATTGTAATAACACTCTGAAACCAGGACACTTTGTGTGTATATTTTCTCTGTTAAAATGGAAAGATAGTTGTCACAAATCCTATAGCTGCTCATGCTGTTGTGAGAACTGCTGATTAAAAGAGAATGGGCATCCTGCATCTTTCTCATCTTTTCTTCTTTCCCAGAATCGAAAGGATCAGTATTTGTGATATTCACAACATCTTTATGATGTCAGTCATTTGTACCCTGTAGAATAATGTTAGCATCTGCTGCAATCTGTAACTGCTTAGTACATTTTTTCTCTTATCTTCGTTTTTAGCTGTACATCCTTGACCCCTGGACCTAGCTGTGATCGGTTTAAGCTACATATCCCTTATGCTGGAGAAACACTCAAATGTAAGTTAAAAGCTATTGCTATTGCATCTTGACCTTTCTTTCAGTAACAGTGTTCTACATCATGTTAAGTTTTCCACTGTGTCTGTCTAATTTTATGAGTTTTGAGATATCTGTGATGCTTGTTTTTTCTTAAAACTTCAGCTCAGAGAACACGCAACTGTAACAAAATCTAATTTTAAGATGTTTAAGATAAGCCTTCCTGGATATTACAAATTTGAAAACGAATCCTAAAAGCCAAAAGTCACAATTCCCTTCCCCCCAATATTTCTAATAAGATGTTATGACTGAGACAATCTCATGACCATTTTTAGACTTATTTATGATTTGTATACGCTTGGTTGCTTTTTTCTTTTTAGGAAGAGTTCTTTATTAAGCTCCAATAAAAGAAGTCAGTCTGTTATTTTTATTAGGTGTCTGTAAACAGTAACTGGCATAATTGACCAGATTAGAGAAATGTGACTTTGTTTTTTCTGATTTAGTGGTGTGGTAAAATCCTCCTTGGCCTTGGAGGATCTGTATATAGCTGGCTCATTTGCCCGCTCATAAATTAGTCTGGGTTTTCGTTCAAAGGATTAGAATAAAATTTGCTTTTCTATGTTTTTAGAAGGTAAAAATAGTTCTCTAAACACTTGAGTTGCTGATAATCTACATATGAAAAATGGTAACGTTGTGTTGCTTTTATCTCTAGCAACTGAAATATGGGAGTGGATGAAGAATTTCAGATAAAGTAAAATTCGAAGCTTGGTAATTTTAGATGTAGGGCAGCTCTGGTGAAACCACATCTGTGTCCAGTTCCTGTCTCAGTAGTACCAGAAAGGCATGGACATACTGGAATGAGTCCAGCAAAAGACCACAAAGATGATTGAGGGACTGGAGCATCTGTTGTGCAAGGAGAGGCCAAGAGAGCTGGGGATTCTTGGGAAGAGAAGGCTCAGGGCAAATGTTATCGATGTGTTTAAGTGCCTGATGGGGGGAATGAAGAAGATGGAGCCAGGCTTTTCTCAGTCACTGAAGGGAAATGGTCACAAATTGAAATACAGAAAATTCCATTAAAGTGTAATAAAAGAACTTTTTTGCAAGAGTGGTCAAACAATGGAACTGGTTATGCTCAGAGCTTGTGTATCTCTGTTCCTGGAGATACTCAAAACCCAACTGGACATGACCCTTAGCAGTCTGCTCTTTTTGAGCCTGCTCTGAGCCGAGGGATGGGACTAGGCAGTCTGCGGAGGTGCTGTCCAACCTCAGCCATCCTATGAGTCTGTGAAAATGTGCCTTCTGGAGGAGGAAGTACTTGGTGTGAACAGAAATGTTAAACATTTAAAACACTTACTGCTTTGATAATATCCATTTACATTGCATCATACATATGCTATAGCTCTGTAAGACATTTTAAATATAAAGATTGGTGTTGTATTCCTTCTGTAGTGGTTTTTCTTGTCATTATATAGTGCACTGGAAGCCCTTCTCCTTTATGAACAGAAGTCTACACAGTTAAATTTCTTATCATTAAAAGTACTTGAAAGCTTCCATTTGGCACTTCTTGTAAGGAAGTTTCCCGGCAGTTGGTGTGGAAGTTTGCTCATGTGTTCAAGAGAGAAGCTAGGCTCATGTAGCAGTCTACTATGACTATTTTTTCTATTCTAAAAGTACGAAATCGTAGCTCAGGAAGCTTACTAATTGTTCTTTTCCAAAAGATAAAAATGGAATATTAAGTCCTCGCTAGGAAGTATTTTAAGGAAAAAAGATGTGGCTATGCATTTATTCAGAATTTTCGGTAAGTAATGGCTGTATTATATGAAGCCAACTACTCTACCAAGTAGAATTTTTGTCCTTATTTAAACTTTTTTTTTTTAAAAGTGACATTATGTAGCAGACTCAACCTGTTGAGTCTTGATGTGTCCTGCAATGTGTAGTAGATTCTACTTGAGACTTCTCGACTACAATCAAGATGCAGTGAAAAGAAGCTTCGTTGGATAACATCGCTTTAGAGAGTGGTATCATATTTTCTGTGGGACTGTAGTAACTCTCATCACCATACAGGACCCTATTATTACATTCTGAGAGCTTTAAGTCTAAACTTGGTTTTAAGTAGAGACTACAAATGTTCCTGATTCATAAAGGAAAATTTGTAGATTAAAGTGCCCATATGTGAGGATGTAGGCATACAGACTATGCTAAGATACTAAACTGTAGTACAGTTAAAGTACCTAGAAATATGATTATGGACTATGCATTAAATTTCAGTATTGAGAAATTAACTTTTTTCTCCCCCCCCCAATCTTATATTTTGATTATCACATAAGCAATTAAACAAAACAATTATAATTCTACTCCTTTCTTCACCTTTGCAAAACCCAAACCACACATTGTAAGCATGCTCTATATTTTAGCATAACCAACTGAAAGTGCTGTAAACAAGTGTTATGTTTTCCAAAGGTACCTAATAATAGCAGTGAAATCAAGTAATAATAATCCTCCGCATTTCATCATTACATGTTTAAAAATGCTGTGCATCATTCAGTCTCACAGCATGTGGAATAAATAATGAAGCAAGCAGATTCAAGAAAAGCTTCAATAATTTTGTATTTAGATGTGTAGTGATGGCAGGGGAAGACAGCCATGGTGTGCAGCTGGAGATTTGTAGATACTTTGTTGTAAGCTGTTGCTAGATGTGTTATCTTTCAAAGGCAGAATATTTCTACGAAGGAAAGTTGCGAAATCTGCCAGAATAAAAAGATTGGCTGAAAATGTGCAGGATCTCCAGTGCATGGTCTTCATTGTGGGGTACCCAATGCAGGCTGAAGCGTGTAGTTCCTTTGTGGTTTGTGTTACATCCTCTTTGCAACAGATCAGATCTTTGCATATCATCAATCATAACCGCTGCCACTGCACAAATACCATACTATGAATCCTAGTGTGTTGAAAACTGTTGGTATGCTACTTTAGAGAAGTATAACTGCATAGTCACAGTCCTGTTTTCCAAAAGACCAGGAAGTTCACTGGTTTTTGAAAAAGGGGAAAGTGTACTTGCAGACAACACAGTGGCTGACTGCCTATAGTGTAAAGTAATTGTTTTGTTAGCTTCAGTAAGATCAAACATCCTGTGAGTTGAGAATGGCTGGTTGGGAATTTAATCATTTTTTTCAGATGTCATGTTCACCTTACTCTTGCGAGTATTTTGAGCTGCTGGAATGCTATACTGAACAGTTACTCAGCTGCAGCCAAGAACCTTGGAGACCTTGGAGATAGCTACAGTTTTATACTGGAGAAGAATGTTATGTTGCTGTTGGAGATAAAATAGTTTGTCATACTAATTATCTTCCATCACACTTCAGAAAATTTTAAATGGTGGTTTCAGAGAGACACTTTTACTTTGTTTTCTTCTGAAAGGGAAACTATAAATTTTGTGTTTTCATGGCTATAATGGTTGGAAAACTTGAGCCTACTCTTGCTAGACTGTCAATTAAAATCTGAGACAGCCACATTGTTGTTATTAGTTTATCCAGCATTCAATGCTGCTATGTTAAACTCAGTGTTTTCTTTATATTTGATTTTTTCAGAGCTCTTAATAGGAGTTTTAACTCCAAGAAGATTGTCTGTAATATCCTGTAAGAGGTTGAATCTGTGTTCCAAGGACAAAGCTTATTCTAAGTTGTATACAGAGCTGTCCTTTATTGCTAACTGAACGACCATACCTGCTGGGTATAGTTTGTTATCCTTTTTGGGAGAAGTGTTTGTGTATTTTGAGGCAAAGTATTTTGTAACTCTTGCAGACATATTGGTCTTCCTTGCTAAAACATAAAGGTAGATGTCATAGTAGAAATTGTCAGGATAAGCAGAGTTATAAGCTGTAATAGTCTTTATTGAATAACATTAATAATTAAAATACACTATTAAGAATCAGTTCCTTGGTCATTGGAATTTTGTTCCAGCAAACCCTGGAATCTCTTGGTTTTGGTTTTCCATTTTCACTCAAGCTTTCACTGCTTCTTGCTACTAAGAGAGCCTGACTCTCTTTTTCTTTCTTTTTTTTTCTTTTTTTTTTTCTTTGCCTGCCTGTGCTCTTTGCATTTTCTTTTTCAGGCACTGATGCCTCCCTCCCTCTCTATCCTTGAGTGCTGTCATCTGGAATTTCACGGTGATTAAACAATGTGTTGCCCTTGTGGTGCTACTGTTCTCTGTGGCCTCTTGAACTCTAGTATTTTCATCTTCTGATTTTCACTGGTTTTATGTGAGTGGATTACAGCTCTAGATTCTACTGCCACCACTTTGGTTTCCTTGATCCCAAAGAACTGGTTTGTTTGTCTCATTCGAAGCTTAATTTTTCTTTTTTTGCTTCTGATTTCTGTTTCTTAGTTTTTTACTCAGTTATAGATCTTATATAGGGGGGAAATCAGAGTTTTACTGCCTAACTAGTCTAAGACTGTTTCCCATAATATACTGTACAGAATTTCATGTGCTTTTATTCCTATGAGGGAAGTCTTTCGATAAGTTCATCTAGTCTTCCTGTGGCTTTCTACTTTAAGGAAGTAGTTAGAAAAAAAGAAAATGATAAATATGGAGAAGAGCCTGACCTTCTTGTTGCCCTTTTAAAAGCTGCTTTGCAAATTTGTTTGCTAAACACTTCTTTATTGTGTCGATAAACAATTATAAAAATGATTTTACAAGTTATTATAAGATTTAAGAGTCTTATAACTAGGTTGCTGCAATGCATCTATCGGTCTTCTGTGCACCAGTAGGTTATTTTGCACCGGTTGTGGTTTTGTTGAGGCTCTTATGGGAAATATTTTTTGGTTGCTGTAATTCAGATTATACTTGGGTGATATCATTACCTGTATGGTAAGTGTCTTTTTGCTGGGTCATACAAAGTACCAAAGATTTTTCAAGGCAATATGTTTTCTGAAGTTTTGCTGAGTCTTGTTTTACATGGCAGGAGTAATGAATCTTCTTCCTTCTCTAATCTGTTTGTTATCTAAGGAATGTGCCTAATGGGAAACATC